TATTGTAAATTGAGTTTTTGTTTTTAACGAAATTAATTAAAAAATGAAATTAATTTTAAATATGTTGACTGAAGTCTTCAGGATATACAGAAGAACAACATTTTGTTTAGTCTGTAAAGTCCAGTAAACCATTGAGATCAAAATAGGATTACCATTATTTAAATAGTAAAGTAGTCATGATTATTCCTATTACTCTAACTGCTCCAGCTCTAGCAGTATTAAGTATCACACATAAAAGTTCTTGGAGAGATTGATCTGTTCTAGTTAGATTGCTCTATGTGGGACTATAATAAAGTACAGTTCTCAAGTTAGCAGTGATAAAGGAACGTGTCAGCCTAGCTTTGATTTAGCTCGGCTGAATTATTTTTATCCCCAGTGAGTGCTAAATTTATCCAGCCTTCATCATGATTAATGCTAGTTCAGGCCCCAGACCATATAGAACACCCAAAATAACAATCTATGTACAGATATTAATGTTTGAAGGAAATTAGCTGCCGAGTTGTACAGATGACATGGGTGTACTTGTGGGAGTAGTTATAATTCTGTGGTGAAAAATGTTTGTGTCATTGTTACATAAAGGATTACAGACATGGATTGTTCATTGTAATTCCATGCATTCTATTCAGGGGTGGCAGAGTGGTGAGCAGTGTCAGCAAAAAGGCTGTGGTTTGATTCCAAGTCTGTCTAAGTGAAGTCTGTTTAATAAGTTAGTTTGTTTTTTGGAGAGTATGTAGTTTTGATATGGTCATAAAAATGTAATCGTGATCTCATCTTTGCTATTTTGGTCAGTTTGTGGTTCACTATTGACTATTTGTCTATTGAATACAGCTGCCAGACACTTTTCTCCCGCACGCTTCCACAACTTTTTTGTTTTATCTATAAATAAAGTCGTCTGCCTCTATGAGTGAGTGACAGGTGGATATGACCGATCACAGGAAGAAAAAACTCAAACTGTTCAGAATCGTGGAAAAATTGTTATCTGGTTCCAAGAAAATCATGATATTTTTATGTCCTCTGTCCAAATAAGAATCAGTTACACCACTGTCAGCCAGCGTTCAGCTTTCAACCAATTATAAATCAATCAAAGCTGTTAATCAGTTATCACTTTCTTCCCCCTATCGTCATATCTCCACAGCACAACCACCAGCCTCCTCAGCCTCTCCATCTCCTTTTCAACACTCCAAAAACTCTTACCGGGAGATATTTTCCAAAACAGATCAAACAAAACTTTATTGTCATTGCTTCATTAACTAAACATTGTTAAAAGGATACTGGATACCAACACTGGGTTTTCAAGGTCTCCCTGTGCTCTGTTCACGTGTATGTTTGACAGTACAGAGGACTTTGACCTAATGTGGTTGTTGTTACTGATAAAAGTAAATTATTTAATAGGGTACACTTTTGGGATGGGATGTTTTGAGGATGCAGTTCCTGGCAAATAGTGATTGTAATGACAATACAACTTTGTGCCAATGCAGTTTTCTACTTAAATACTCTATGGATTGTTTAATCAATGTTTGCAGATTGTGCCAAATGTAAGTTAATTAAAAAGGCAATTTGACTGTCCCTGTCAACAAAATTGTCCTCTTGTTTTAACTTTTATATAAATTGCACTGGCATCAATCTGGAACGTAAAATAAAATAAACTCCATAAGTTGCGTGCTGTAAAGCTAATGAGTATTTGAACAATTGCCATTACTTGATGTGATTGGCTGGAGCTCTATTCTTTTCTATCAATGGCTTTATTACATTAAATGTGGTGTAAACCTGCAGACAGAGGACACATACAGGCATTTTATGATATTCACAGTATATGGACAGGCCATGCCTCATGTGGAAGAAGACAGTCACTGAGTTGCCGTGGCTGTAGTAGCACTGATTAATGATTGACTGCAGGTACAGGAACCAAACACCATATTGAAACATAAACAAACTTGGCCATCATGTCCACTGCTTTTGCAATAAATCAGCATAACAATTGTTTTCAGTAAAAGGTGCATCTGATTTGAACAAGTTTAACTTATGTATTGTCTCCTCCTATCCGTGGGTTTTAGAGTGAAGAAAACTGTGGCCACATTGATTATCAATTCAAATAGTATATTGTTTGAAAAGACAGAACCTTAACACCTTTAAACCAGGAAGAACTTTAGTTTGAATGAAAGCTGTTGAATAGTAGAAGAGTAGAGTTTGTCTGCATTACTGTGCTTACATAATACTATAAGTGGTTAGGGAGGCACAGAATGGAAAACACAGTTCCATCAGTGAGAGTGTGTTACATATTAGATGGCGCCAGTGTTTGGGCCGCTGTCTGTCTCTGCCAGGATAAACACGTGCATTCAAGCAACAATCAAACTACAAACCTATTGGTTAGCTGGCAATGGCAAACTTTTCAACCATCTGCTGTACTGCTACCTGTATACAGTAAATCTGAAACACACTAGTTTTACATGTCTTACATGGACATTACATAATGCATTATACAGCATACATGAACTTAATTTAACTTCCTGGTGAAGACTGTTTCTTATCTCATTAAAACCTAACCTTCCTAAACCCTAATCTTGACCTAATCTTAACCCATATCTGAACTTTAATTCATTGATTTACATCATGGTCCTGATTTTTGACCCCATTGGGGAGGTAGGTCCCATGAGCGATTTGACTCCCCACAAAGTGTCACTACTCTCTAATGTGTTTTCATATCTTTATGCTCCAATAATATTGCCCTGGCCTCATTGTACCATATATTGCCATGTACTTTATGATATTATTATACCTTAGCCAGATTTTATTTCATGATGTTTATACTAACAATATACAAAGCTTTCAGAGTGCTCAAGGACAGTCTGGGAGGTCATCCATCAGCAGTGACCTCGCGAACAGTCCCTCCCCCTCCAACGCAGCCCCTCCCCCTCCAACGCAGCCCCTCCCCCTCCAGCGCAGTCCTTCCCCCCCAGCACAGCAGCTGGGTGAGTGGGCGGCTGATTGTCGCCGTCCTCTTCGCAGGTTGGGGCGCGACATGTTCCTCTGATGTGCGAAACTGTCAGGATCACAGGACTCAGCGCAGCTGTCCTGCTCTGCGTGTCTGCCCACTGCCTCTCCACCTACAGCATTTTAACACATCCACCACTCTTATCCAGGCGTCAAGAGCCCCCACCTCTCACCACTGCCAGGAACTCATCTTCTATTCTCCTGTAAATGTGATGTGAATGCAATATGCTAAAACCAGGGTCTTCAAGTTGGCATCGTGAATATGAGGTTTCTTAAGCTGAAATAATAATGCATTAGATTTATATAGCAGCTTTTAAGACACTCAAAGCAGTGTATTATTCATTCACTCCACACTCAGTGACGGTAAGATACTAATGTAGCTACAGCTGACCTGGGGCAGACTGACAGAAGTGAGGCTGCCAATCTTCTCCCCATTAACCCCTCTGACCGCCACTAACAGGTATGTAGTGTGTCTTGAATCAGGACATAACAACAGAACTTCCAAGCACTGTGTATATGGGGATTTATGGCTTTGCTTTAAATGTTCCACAGTATGATATTAAAATTATCTACAGCATAGCTTATATTTTATTATAGCTGTTGAAATTGGTGACAGTAACTTAATTGGAGTGTTTGTCCACTTATCCGAAGGGAGGTGGTTCGAATCCTGCTCTCTCAACTGTGGGCCAGTGGATCTGATCCAGATCCATTCCAGCTCCCACAGATGAATACTGTCATTGTGGCAAGACGCTTAACCCACCTCCAGTATCTGCGTACACTGGCACACGGAACATGTGTTTTTAGGTGAGTGGTTCCTTGATGTAAAGCGCTTTGAGGGCCTCGAAGGTGGAAAGCGCTATACAAAAATGTGACCATATACCATTCAAATTGAATACCACGAAAAACAATACAAAACAACATAGCCTACAAGCTGTCCTATTCATGTATAAAATATACTTTCTTCACCCTTAATCTTGGGGTTTCAAAGTCTATTTTTTATTCAATATTCTCTTTAACTTCAGTGAAAAACTACAAAGCAACCAAAAGTGTCTGGGTGGAAAAACACAGAGATGAGCGATGGGCAGCTTTGCTCATAGTCAACTTTGCTTTTATTGATCATTTCACAGCAACATTTACTTTCTCCTCTAGCCTTCTTCTCCAGACACCTCCATTGATTCACACAAAAGAGATGGCCTCCACGCCTTCACTTGTCTTTCATTAGATTATCCAAGACACCAAAAATCATTATCCACGACATAATGGCACATAAAGACTGAAAAATGGTGTGTTTTGGTTATACCCTGTTGACACTTCCCTCGGAAATGATGGTGGCTATCCTAATATCTAATGTCCTTCCTGGCTTTTCCAATAAGCTAAATGGGGGTTTCAACTTAGCTAATGCAGCTTTTGACCAGCGGATCGGAGCAAGGAAATTTGTTTTTAATACGCGAAAGTGGAGTTTTGACCTCCAAATGTAACTTGTAATGAAATCAGTGGTAATGGCACAGAGTGGCATGGACGGGAATCGAATAAACACTGACAAAATGGATGGATAGATGGATGAGAGTTGGCACATAATGTCCTTCAGCCTCAGTAGCTTTTTCACTGTGACTATGTTTACATGCAGAGTGAAATCCGAGTAAATTAACAACTAAATTTAAAAAGAAATAGATAAGCGACATCTCATTTATGTTATTTGCACTCCACAGTACAATACAGAGTAATTTTCACTTCAAATCTACCATTGGTAAGTTTATTTGATTTTTTTTCACCTGTAGATGTCAAGTGAAAACTGAATTGGACTGCGCGGTTACGTGCAGCAGGTATCTCCAGATGGCTTCTCCAGATGAGTCATTTGGGATCTTTGAGATTAGTTTCAAAACACCTCAATCGTAGTTCCTGGGTTTACACGCATTTTGAAAAATCTGGTTAAATTGGATTATGCCAGTTATCCGGTTTTCCTGGTGTATGTGTCTCTCGGATTCAATTACAATACAAGCAGTGGAGGGGCCAGCTCTGGTTATGTGGTTATGAAGGTGAGACACATTGGTAGTGAGGGGACATAGTAGATCATGCAAACAGCTCATAGCATTAGCATCCCGTGTCCTCAGGGGCACCGAGGCCATTCAGAGCAGGGAGGGGGGTTGGGTAATGCGTTGGTTTGTGGTGAGGAGGTAGATAGATATTCAAAATGTCAAAGAATATTTCAAATTTCTGGTCAAATTTCTACCTGCATGGCAGCAATGATTTGGTTGGATTTGAATTCTGAGAGCTCATGATTTTGGAAAAATGTAATTCTGTTCAAGACAAAAGTTAAGAGACAAGCCAATTTATTTATGTTTTTACACCTGATGCCCGATCTTCAATGATTTCTCTGTGCATCTGGAATGGTCAGTTTAGAATATCCATCACCAGCCTTTCTCAAGTTTTTTGTTTTGCCTTGAATGTTATAAGATTGGTATAAATGTACCTTACCTTATTTACAAGTGTTCAATTACTTTCCATGGAGATTGCTAGATTTTATGCCATGCGTGGAACATTCCTGTACAACATCTCCATGGAGAATAGAAGGTTTTGGACCAAAAAAAACATACATATTGCCCCTGTAAGCTAATTCGTAGATCTATTATAATTTGTTCAGAGATTTTTAAACCTTGACAAGTAATATTGCATGTATTTTTGCTGACATCTATAAACATTTTATTACTGCCTGTGTAGTCGGGAAGCATCATTTATTTTTAGCACCCAAAACAAATCAGGTTAACCATGACTTCTCATTAGGAAGAAGCTGACTCAATTGGGGAAAAAACAACTAAACAGGAGTGCAGTTTTGGCAGGGAGCCTCGGACAAAAGAATTCAATTTTGAGCTGTATGAATTTGGAGAAAGACAGGGTAAAGAATACTTGCCTATGCTATAAATGTAAACAGAAACGCCACCTCTTCCAATTAGGTTTTGTTGCAGAATCAAAGCTGTAATTCAAGGGTTAAACCAAATTAAAACCAATTTCACAGCTTACTATAACAGGAGTGCTCATTTTATGCCAAATTAGGCTAGGACAATTACATCTGTTGGAGCAGGGACTCTCTCGGAAACTGTACAGCACTGTGCAATCAACGACAACTTCAAGAGGGTGTCTGAGGCATTCGGAAATAATTACAGGGATAAAAACAGCGTAATTCAATATTGACAAAGGAGGAGAAATTGTAGAAAAATAGTCCAGGAAATGCACGAGTCTCATTTTGAGGTTTTGGTGACCAGCTGCAGTCTTTGCCGTGGTCCAAAAGGAGGCACAGAGAGAGAGAGAGTTAGAGAGAGCTCCAGTTCATCTCCCCAGGCTTGGTCAGCTGTGGCACATGGCAAAGGGCCTACCGCTCAGCTCCATCCTCCCCCTCACAGCCAGGCCTGGGCAGTTCTGTCTGGATGAATGCAAGGCTGGGAGCACCGTCTGACCATGTCCTCCTCTCAGGGCTTCATCCTAGACAAAACAAATACATTACAGTGGGTGTCTGTTTCAACAAATAGCCTAGGAGAAAGGTGCACTGTGTAGCTTCTCTGGTGGGAAGTTGGCTGCGTGCACATCTGTTGATACTTTGCAGTCATCATCCACATTCCCGGGGGTTGTGATGCTAACTGTAGGCTCGGCTCTGACTGAGGATTTGTTGGCCTTTGATCTGAGCTTTGTTTTAACACAATCTGACCAAAGAAAGAACTGACTTAGCTGGAACTACATAACCCTGGATGCTTTTTGTGTTTTTTCTTGTGTTTTCAGACAATCTTAAAACTTTTTTTGACTGTATTTGGTGCTATATTTGCTGCACTGGTGTTATATCCTGGTCAAATGCATCTCTCCTGTTAAGGTTAATGTATATTGTGCACTATCCCTGTCTCAATAAATAAATAAATTAAACTAATGTGTGCATTGTGTCACCATGGTAACTCCTAAACATTAGACCATTAGAGATACATCGTCATCTGTCTATTCTTTTACTCACAAATGTGCATTCTTACTCTGAGAAGGGTTGCTACTTCACAGATCTGATGTTAACTTGGCCTTGTGGTGCCACGTGATTGTCACCATGATGATAAGTTGGATGGCAAATTGTGGAACATTCCAGGCAACGCAAAAACCTCTCCAAGTAGCGGTCCGGCCATCCACCAGAAAAGTTACATAGTGCATCTTTAAATCTAGATATCAAAGGGTGGGGAGTAGTGCAGTGGCTAGAGACGTTTTCCCACTAACTGCAGGGTTGAGAGTTCAATACTTGGCCAAAGTACAAATTGGTTGTGTGAATATGAGTGCATCTGATGGAGATGCTGGACACAGAATCCCAGCAGTCTAGCTCAGACCAGAGTAATGAAGAAGTATAAAGCTGGTAATGACTTTAAACAAACGATACAAAACTTTTAAATGACCATTTATTGAAATTTGGTTGCTGATTAGTCCTTCATAATAAATTCCATTTGCTACTGTGTTAGGCAAACCATGCATAACAGGATGAAGTGTGAAGGAGGCTGCTGGACAACAGCAGTTTTAATTAATTCTTCAGAACATCATTTGTAAATCAATTTGAAGTGTAATTACATTTTCTAGAAGTTCAAAAGTGAACTGCAATTAATACACAGACATCTGGATTAAGCTTTAGACCTCACAGCTAAAATATTATTCAGTAGTTTCACGTACACAAGGTCCACAGTATTTCTGTTTTATTATTATTATTTGACAGTATTATTGAAACAATTATAAATGAAAACTAAACCAGTCATGTTTCCTGGCACACAGTAAGGCATAGAGTATGAAACAAAATAAAAGAAAATAAGTAATAACTGACATCTTAGTCTGGAGAAACCCCTACGACTTGGCTGTCAAAAGCACTTAAATATTTAACTCCATGTGGCCCCCCTCAAGGAGTGCCTTCTTTAGTTTGAGATGACAGAACCCTTAGTGCTGTCAGTCAACACACAACTGAATATAGAAGTGTTTAGAAAGATAAACAAAGGGATTTACACATTTCCAAAAACAACCTGCTTACTACTCTAGTTTATGAATGAATTGCTGCCACTAATAGTTAATTGTTCTTTCTACATAAACAATAAATGTATGTCTATGTGATAATATTTGGTATCATCATTTGGTTATTCTCCTTTCTTGAGCTTGTGAACAACTAAACAAAAAAACAAAAAAACAAGCAATTAAAATTTTCTTTGAATGCGCATTCTTGTATCACTTTTGGTTCGCTTTCCCCATTATAAAGAAATGTAATTATATTTTTTTGGATTATCACCATTTCAGAGAGTGCACTGTCAATGTTGTGATTGGTAATTGTAATGCATTATACTGTATAAAGTGGATGAATCCAGTCAGATTTAACCTACGGCTGCAATGTTGTATTTCAAACCAACGTAAATCTTTTTTTTGGGGGGATAGGACAGCCTGATTTGGTTTAAAAAAAAAAAAAAAAAGTAATTACGAAGGATTCTGTTCAGAGTGCATTTTGCAAACAACCCCAGGAGCATTAACATTTGATAAAAGACAGAAATATGACCTAATAAATCAATATAAGAACCCCAGGCATTTCGGAAAACATCTGAAGTCCAAACAGGCACAAGATTTTCCTATAAAAACAAAGGGTATTTAGTTCTCTGCCAAAGACATTCTAAATGCAGTCTTTGCAATTTGGCATAGCCAACTCAAATTGTGATTTTGATGATTCGATTGTGATGTTGTAGAGTCCTAATCATGGATAAGATTTCCTCAGAGAATCAAACTTAACAGAGCCATATTCTAATTTGGTTCAATATCCTACTACAATATCCACAGTTATCCCACATCACCTCTCTTCCCTTCATGCCCCTCTACCTCCGGACACTCCATTACTTTCACAGGCCTCTCTGGTGCCTTTAAGATATGGCCGCCACATGAGAAATCCCCGTACACCTCTTGTGCTGGGTCCATTCCAAGCCTGTGTGCGCTGTTCCCGCTGTCACGGGCCCTGAGCTATGGATCCTTATTAGTCACTTTCCCTGGGAGCATACTGACACAGTGTTTTGAGAGCTGCTCAAGGCGCAGCCACACACCAATTCACAGCCTGTCAAAGCACAACGACAGGACAGAAGCCAGGCAACGCTTTGTAATATCCACCACTAATCCCACTGTACCCCGACAATTATTTAAAAGCTTCATTTTAACACGTTCACAGTGGTCTTGGTGAATAAGCACATACGGCTGTTAATTACTCTTGACGCAGAAATTTTGCATCTCACAGAAATATCCATCAATGAAATCAAATGACAGGTTAGAAGTGGGATAATGTTCACTGCAGCTGAATTTTATATTAGGACTCTGCACTGCTCACACTCGCTCTAATCTACTAAGATTCAGTAGTACTGACAGTGGTTGAAGGTAGAGGTGGGCGAAATGCAATAAAATGGCATAAAACATTTTCCTGGTCTGAGATCACAACTTCAATTTTATTATGATTTATGCAGTTTGTATCTTTATTTGCCACTAAGAGGAAACTAAAGCCATCTACTGTTTGAGAGTTCACACTGGTTAAATAGGGCAGCACAGTGATGCAGCAGTGAGAGCTCTCGTCTCACAGCAAGGTCCTAGGTTCGATTCTGGGACAGTGCTGGGCCTTTGTGTGTGGATTTTGCATTTTCTCCCTGTACCTGCACAGGTGTTCTGGTTTTACAACCACTAAAAACATTTACAATAGGCTCCCCACCTAATCTCAGTGGGACTATTCTGGTTAAGTGGTCTCTAAAATGAAATAAATGAAGAAGAGTGAGTAGGGAAAGTTTCTATTTGAAAACTCATCAAAATGACATATTGTCACAGGCTAAATTCACAATTAGATTTTTTTAAATTATGCATTTTATGCATATAGTGCTTTTCAGGATACTGAAAGACGCGTTACAGAAGATTTTTATTCTGATATTGCCGTATCACAATAAAAATGTAATGCAAGACCAATATTATATATAATATAGTACTATTAGTACACCAAATACAAAGTGTGTTTTCTGTTGCCTGGCAAGCCAAAACTTCATGATTTTGCTATATAAGACATCTCCCAATTGCCTCTTTTAAAATATATGGGGGAAATAGTAACTGATAGATTTTAGAGTAATGTAGATTCAAGTCTAAAAATAGCATCATTGTTAAAACACAGAACTAGTTGAAAGTCTGTACAAGCATGTTTATTTGTTCATTTAGCAGAGCACGGAAGCCATGTTATTGGATAAATCTCGCCAATACACTTTGTTAGCTGCCTCTTGTCAATTTTAATCAAAAGGGATTTTCTCTTGCAGGCAGATTTAATTCTCAGGTGCTAGAGACTCCTGAAGTCATTAATAAAGAAAGACTTACAGGCACAAGCACTGAACCCTGCACAGCTAACAATGTGCAACATAATATCAGAAAAAACTGTCTAAATCATTCAAATACTGAGTTTAAAATCCTTTTACTTTCTTGGCATCAAAGTAAAGTACAACCAAATTTTAAAAGCACAAAGAACATACAGTACCTTTCTCAGTACTCCAAAGTAAGATTTTGATTTGAAATGTGTCCTTTGATAGAAGAGAAACATGCTCAAATCAAATAGATATTTTTCTGATAACTATTTAATGCCATTTATATATGTTGTAATTTGGTAATTTGGGCTTCAACCAAATTTCTCATCTGGGTGGCCAGTTTCAGTGCTGAGCACCTCATCATGAATTGGTGATAGTGCGTGTCAGTGAGTGAATTCTGGAGGTTCTGAGTTTTCACATGAGGCATGGTCAATCCATACACGTAGAAAAATGTGTATGTGTCCTCTATCTGCAGGTTTAGGGCTGGCAACCCTTCCCAGGTACAGTTATGACTGTAGTACATTTTAGAAACAGTAAAATTGCAGGCTACACACAGTTCCTTTAAACAGATGCCCTAATGCTAGGCTTACACTACAAGACCAAGAAGCTCAATATGGGCCTAGTTCACTTTACAACTAATAACTCGCATCAGCCATCATATCCATTTATCTGCAGTGATGCATGCTTTGTACAGTGGATGAGCTCACTGGCCAATGTCCCTTAGGCTTAGTCCAAATAATCAAGATGACAGAGAGATAGGACCTCAGCTTCTGCTTTTTGGTGAAAAACACCATGTACATCTTTGGTTTATTTTTTACGATACATCAAAGACCTTTGACATCCACCCTAGATATAATCTTCAGTGGCAGCGCTGAAAAAGTGCTGTCTAGTTATATGCATGCCTTATACTAATAATAATCATATTTTATATTATACCATTATATTCATAGGTTTATTTTAGACCATATAGCTAAAGTATATTCTCAGTTTGTGAATGTTGTTCACAGACAATGGCAATAAAACTTTTTTTTTTTTATTATTCAGTTTCTTTGCTTTGGTGTGTAAAAAAAAAGAAGTCATTCTGTGATAGAAATGTACAGTATATGCAAGTCTAACACAACCACTAATGTGTGCCTGGAGGTGAAGGCCTGCTCTGTGAAGTGGAAAGTGAGTTGCCATAATGAAACAATATACACTTTGTACCTAATGGGCCATAACAGGCACAAATCAGGAGGAAGAGAGGAGAAAGCACACAAACACACACGCGCGCACACACACACACACACCAACCTGTGGTCAGAGCCTCCTCCGTCCAGCAGACTGTCAGTCTCCCAGTGCAGGGACCAAGACTGTGCCTAAAGGAGGACAAAGACCAAATCAATACTTGACCAGTGCACACCAGAGAAATGTGAGACAGGAATCATGCAAAGTCTACAGGAGAAGATATGCTCATGCAACTCAAGCTGTCTTTTGGATAACTCTGACCAGGCAGAACCTTTTGAAATATTACTATAAGCAACTTTTACACAGAGATGGCAAATTAAAAGTAATAGCAGCTCAACTGTACGGCAGAGATTAATGTTGATTTGAACATTTTAGCTAGAGTTGCATTAACACTATTCTATTAGGATATTATGTTAGTAAACATTTATTTTGGTACATAAAATTCACTATGATATTGAAGTTACATTGGTCTTACTTTTGAGTTGTTTTATTGTAATAACTGTGATAAAATATTTTAATAAATTGATTGCATTTACCAATAAGTTTATGTCAATGGATCAACACACTACGAAATTAAACATTTAGGGTTAGGTTACCTTTACAGTGGAGTTGTCTAGGTTCTAACCATCCTCTCCATTGCACTGCCATTAGTCTGTACTAAAGTAGCCATCGCCAGCGTCATTCATGACAATGAGGGCTAGACCTGAATGGTGGTTTGAATTCAGTTAAGTTTCAGATGCTATAAAAGCAATTATCATTACGATTACGACCACAGGTAAGAGGATTGAAAAAGTCTTATACATACCCAGCATTTAGAACGCTATACACATTAGGAAGCTATCCAGGTTATTTTAGAGGTCTTACCTCTGCGTCCTTTTTAAAAGTATAGAAAGAGACAGAAAGAATAAGTTGTGTTTTTTGATCATTCAAGACATTTAAGCTTAAAGTCGTCAATACATTCATTTAGATTTAAAATGGTTTTAAATGAGAAACAAAGGAAAACATCTACATCTGAGTGTTGATTTTCAGGTTTGACTAGGACATGAAACAAATAAGGCAAGTTAAGTTTCATAAAAAACAAACTAAGCTTTATTGACAAACTGCTGCAAAACATTTTTGGACAGATTTAGTCACCTATTTAGGCAAGCTTACACATGTAGCATAATGCATTTTATGGAGAGGGCACACATACTAGTGGCAGAATCATTACAATTAGGATGTTTTAAATATGTACAGAGTTGGACTGAGCTGCAGGATCCCTTCTCTGTGGAAAGAGAAGACCCATGTGGAGATTTTTGTCCCAATCCTTTGTGGAGTTTGGTGCATGCAGTTTATCATCAGATCCCAATAAGACCTGATCAGGTTTAGCAGGACAGAGCAATGTGCTTTTAACAAACATTTGTGTTAAGATTGACATATTTTACAGGTGAAACAAATTGAGGATATGAGGACAGTCCATCTCAACAGTGTCTATTAGGGCTATATTTCAAAACTCTACAGACAGTAACAAATATTGATGACTACAACTAAATCAATTAGTTTTAGAACTATTTAAAGAAAGCCATTGTCAATAAAGAATGTACATTAACCGTTATACTTTATGCAATTTAAAGGTTTGTTTTGTTTTATTTTACAGTTAAAGTTTAATAGTTATTTTATTAGACGCTATATTAACAGAATTTTGAAATGTAGCCTAAGTGGGAATCTGCAACTGACCCTCAACATTTTCTTAGTATTAACATTAGAACATTTTAAATTGTTTCATTTTACAAGATCTACTTCCACTAGAAATTATGACTCCCAACAGTTAGAAAAGAACGATCAACAATGCAAAAAAGCCAGAGGAAAGGGTTAAAAAGGGAAAAGGTAAGAACAGCAAAAATTAAAATAAAATCAAATTAGTAACTAACGAAAAGGACACCAGCTGGTCCTCTACCCATTTGAAGCCGCTTTGGTTGGTTCATGGGTGTGGGAGGGGGAGCGATGGAGTACAGGGAGGGGTCAAATGTCAGATCTCAGAAAAAACAGTTCCAGTGTTGAGTTCCCAATAGTCTCGCTCTCAAAAGTCCAAAAGTAGGAAAAGACCAAACCAAAGACAAAACTGACAATTACTTTTGTCGAGCTGCTTAAAGCGAGCGCTGCCGTGTAGACAGCCGGAGTGGGTGACGCATTCTGGTCTGGTCCTCAGTACTGCCGATACGGGTGCTCCCTGTAGGGTGCCTTGGCTCCTCTGGAAGGGGGAGGGGCCTTTCCCGGGGTGGTCCTCTGGGTGCCGTTCCAGCCATCCTGACCTGGAGACACACAAGAGAAACATGAAAGAGTCAGAAATGAAATATTCCAGATATTTTGATACATTTTTAATCTACTTTCTTTGGGGTCTTGGGATGAATAGTAATTTTAAATGTTTTTAAACACAAACTTTCTAGATTCCAAAATCAAAGAGAAGTGGGACATAGTGTGAAGAATTTGGGATTAGTCTCAAAATATCAGAAAAAGTGAAAAACCAAGGGGGATTTGGCAAATACCACCCACAATAGTTTTTCTTATCTAAACTACAATTAATTATTTTTGTGAAGCTCAATACAATTTTGAGGCTAGCAAAACATTTTTTCCCCTTCCTTTGTTCTAGAAAAGAAATCTTACTGACATTTCTACCCTGAAAATTCTAAAATGTTACTCTTTTTTTAATATAACGACTTTAAATAAATCTATTAGCATTTTGATCTGATGACAATCTGATGATGAAAATGTGTAATGCTATTTCACTTTAAAGGGTCTATATGAACTACACTTACCATAAGAATCATAAGACTCTGTGGTTTCGCCGTGGCTGTAGTCGTAGTACTCTGGATCTCTGTTGGTCAAAAACAAGAGGAGAGATGATCAGATACATCACTTTTCATCTTCAGAAACAGTGCAGTGATATCTGCGGGGAGGATAATTGGCCTGCATGAATGAGATCTAAGCCTGACTCCCCCCCACCCAGTCCCTGACGCTACTGCTAAATAACACAAGCCTCAAAGCATGGAGGAGTCTATCTGCTCTGCATTCCTCCACAGCTCACTATAAGTCTTTCATATTTCAAATCCTATTTTCGAGTTGGGAGCGGCAGAGACGTAATGCGTGCAGCTTGTGTGGAGCAGGTGAAGTGGGTGCATCACTCACGCCTGCGGCTGGCTGTAATAGCTGTCGTATGACTCGTAGCCCGTCTCTGTGTAGCTCTCATCATAGCCCTGCAGAGAGAGAGGAAGAAAAAGAGAGAGAGAGAAAGCCAGAGAGAAAGAAAGAGAGAGAGGCAAACACAGGAACAGAGATTAGAGAGAGAGTCGACATGAATCATGAATGCTACCGTGTCCCCAAAGTACTACTGCTGTGCTGAAGCAGACACTTCCACAAGTCTTCTGCAGGAAAAATCTTTATTCTGTGTTGACGGCTATTTGATGCATGTCATTCTCCAAAGCCACTTGTTGTTGGGCTCACAGCAAAATGCATCGTATCACAACAGTTCTGCAAAGACCTGATCTTTAAAAAGAGTTTGCATGATTTTGCCTAATCTACTTTATACCAACAAGACGGGGTATTACACTTCTAGATAGACCAATCTTCTTAAACGCGAATACATACATACCATCATGACCACAAAAAAAAAATACACCACTCAATCTCTACATATCACCATCATTATCTTTTGTTGGTTTGAAAATGTTACACTTGGCAAAAAACAACAGTGTTAAATTGGTTTCAGTTTAGTTTTTTGACAATCTGTCTTTCTGCCGCTAGCTGTTCTCCAAGGGGAGTGCTGAGTAGGAAGGGGTCATGTGGTGTGAGCATGGGGAGCGGAGAGAGCCCACGAAATCAAATGATGCACAAATGATTCAGAAAACCACTTCACACCACACAACATTGTAACATGGTAGAAAGCTCAAAAAAGTAGATTTAGAATAATACCACCTCCTTTGTGTGGGTTAATGCCTAAACTCCACTCACAAGCACATTTGAAACAGAGATACTAAACTGGGAAGTACCTTGAGGATTGAAGGAGTGAGTGAGGGAGGAGTAGGGGCAAGGGTGTAGGGGTATAAAGAACACCAACTAAAAGGTCTAATACACAGGTGTCAAACATGCGGCCCGGGGGCCAGATCTGGCCCTCCAAGACCTTTAATGTGGCCCTCGGCTGATTTTCTACTAAAATATTTTAATTATATTTTCTATTAAAATATTGTAAATTTTCTGTGGTGTTTATCACAGCAGCGTCTTCAGCGTCTCTGTACGTGGCCCCTCCCACCAGAGCAGCACAAATGAAGACTTGTCTCTTTCCAAACGCTCTTAAAGGACGATCGTTTTGACTGTTGGCCGTGACACCCTCATCAACAAAATGTCCAAAATGAGAAAAGTGGAGCTGAGTGCAGGATTTTCCAAGAAAAATTTACTTATTCCTATTTATACAAGTTAATATTAAACAAGTTCATGTTAAAACATTGTGTTGAAATTTTATTTTTCTTAAAGTTTCAGGTTGTTCATAATATTATAATATTTTGTAAAAGAAAGAGTTCATCAATTAAAAAAGATTTCTGTAACAGATTTGTGTTTCTCTGCACAAATATTTGAACTTATTGTTATTTTTGGGGTTTATATGACATGAGTTTTTTGATCCAGCCCCTTTGGGATCAAAGTCGGTTGGATACGGCCCCCGGACCAAAATGAGTTTGACACCTCTGGTCTAATAGGTCTCCACACTTCAAAGTCCTTTTCCAGGTTACAATTAGGGCAGTCTTTCGTGATGTTACCAACAGCTAGAAATTGCACAGGCCACTAGAGGAAGGACAAACTTTGATTTAGGCGTTTGTGACTAGAAAACTGCAAATTTACATAGTCTGTCTTAAAGTTACCAAAAATGGCTTGGAACAGGAGATAATGCTATTAAAAAAACTGTATACAAGTTTAAGTAGGGAAAAAGTGGATTTAGTGTTTAGTTCCACTTGAAGCTCTACGCTGCAGTACTCACATAATCCTCGTAGCTGTCAGTGGCGGCTGCAGTGGTGTGCTGGTGAGGGGGAGGTGCCATCCTTTGAGGGGGTCCGGCGGTGGGGGGTCTGGCCCTGGGTGCGGCTGCTCCTCTAGCAGGTGCAGCGGTAGGCCCCCCTCGCCCTGCAGGTGCTCCTCGCCCTGCCCCTCCCCTGGTGGGGCCACCGCGGCTCACTCCTCCTCTGGCTGCTCCCCGCGGAGGCATCCCCCGACCCCTGGAACAGAACGTTCAAATGATGCTTCAACATCTGCAACTTGTAATGTCATTTACGACTGTAAAAATGAAAAAGCAACAAAAAGCCAATCAAGCATTTTTTATAGTATAAATAATCACCAATTCTTCTTTGTGCTTTCTGACAATGTAGTCTGACAGTCTCAAATGTAGTTATTATTGACAGTCAGTGTTGTAATAGAGAGACACTGGATGTTTACAATGCTAGTTTATCTGATCAAATATGTTTTGGCCATATTTGATAAGAGAAACTTGGAAAACTGTTTTGAATAGTGAAGGACAAATTCAGTCACACTAAGATGATGCTGGTCACAGATGACAACACACAACACAACACACACAGATACCACAAATAGAGTGCTAGAGGTGTCCTTGGTACACTCAGTTTTTCTATTCAACCATATTTCCATTACTTTCATTGATTGAATATTGAATATTCAGCTTAAATGCAAACCTGAACACTAAACAAAATGTTAGGTTGATGCAGTAGCATAAAAATAAGATTCTCTCATCTGATAACTGCATTTTGATTTTACTTTCCTCAACTGTTTTTTCAAGCAAATGCATTGCACTATAAGTTGTATTAACAGAAGTAAATCCACACTTGGACTGTCAGTCGTGCTCACCTGTGTGCTGCTCCAGGGGGCACTCCACGGCCCCTAACTGGCATGCCCCCGCGGCCCCGGGCCCCGTGCTCCTGGCCTCCGTTCAGATAACTCATCTCCATGAACTGCTCCTGACAGATTTCATCCATCATGTCCTGCGCACATACAGTAAGACAGTGTGTGAAGACATGGGGGTGGAGTGAGAAAGCACAGTATATAACAGAAAAAGTGAGAACCTAGAAAGGAGAAAAGAAGAAGGGGACACAATTACCAAGCAGCTCCCAACTCCAGCTGGCTCCTAATGGCCAGGGAACAGGTTTAAGAAAAAAATGACATGAGGACGTGAGGGCAGCGGAGGTGAGAGAAGAGGTTGTGAGTATTGGGTTGAAAAGTACTGCTAGTACCATGCTTTTACTTAGAACTGATATTGATAGGGCCTAATACATTCATATATTGGATATTGGCGTCTTCAAAGACATTCTGAAGTGCAACTCGGGATGGTAGTTTTACCGTAGTTAGCACCGGTGCTATGGATATTACCTTCAACCTTCGGAACACTATGCTTAATTCTAGCTTTAAAAGACTTTTGGACAGTTAGAGTTGTAAAATTGTCTTTTAAAGCCTTCTTTTATGCATTTATATATGAAGCACTTTCTACTTGAATTCCCTTTCGAATGTTAGGATTAGTTGACGCTCTCTTCTGGCAACACTGGGAAAGAGGCATTTTTAATGACAAATTAGCAGCAAGGCTATTGTCAAAATGATGCTAAAAAGGTAAATACTTCATAGTTCTAGTTGGTCACTTGGGATACAACAGAAACAACACAATGCCAATAGCAAAAATATTATTACTGTATAAGGAAAGGGCTATACAAAATAACTCAAGTATACGTATCTGATAGTGGCAGAGCTCTTTTCCTTTGTGTAGTTTTGTCCTGTTGACAAATTGAATTTCTCCTTTGCCTCTTTGCCTTTGTGATGCTATGATATGACTTTAACAGTGCTCTGATAAAATCTGTTTTACCCCAACACAGATATATTATAAATGCAGCTTTTAGGGTGAAATCAAGACCAATTTCTGCTGTCTGCCCTAAACATGAAGTTCACCAAAGGCATGCCAGTTTTTTTTTGTTTTTTTTTTGTTTGTCTGTTTTTGTATTTTCAACGTAATATAGATTCTTGTGAGCTTTAAGCCTTGTTATTATGTTATGTTTTGTTTCAATCACACATGTTTGAGTAATCATTATGCATTATACGTCTAGTATTAGTCTATCTACACTTCCAAAGTAGTGTCAAAATACTCAAAATTCAAGTTAACAGCTTTTTTTTTTTTTTTTTTTCCCCCAAGATAACAGCTACTTTTTTCAGGTTAACAGCTACTTTTTACCTTTTCTTCATCAGAGATCGGAAATTCTAGGGCTGAAATTATGAAAATGATTCTAATCAAGGTGTAATACCACAGTGGAGCACTTCCTGTATTACCACATGACTTCACAAGGTGGACCAGAGCATTTTCTATCAGTCAACTAAGTATAAATATACAGGGCTTGTGCATTAAACATGTGTGAATGAAACAAAACACAACTCCAGGAATGTTTTAGAAGACATCATTATAACATAGATCAGAAAATAGCAGAATATGAGCCCTTTCAGTTACCTAGTTATATATATAGACAGTAAAAATCAGATATAACTCTTTCACGATAAGTGAGTAAGAAAAACTCTACTCGACTGAGAGAAAGCAGAGGAGTGGATGTGTAGGGGGAGGCTGTCTTTTCCTGTGCCTTCTTACACACTGCAAATGTTAATGAGCTCCCCCCCACTCTGCCTGACAAGTCCGTGTGCCACCGCATCAGCGCGTGCCTCATTTTATCCGCAAAAAACAATAAGTTGGGCTGGATTAGGAGGAGCTGGCAGTCTGAGCAGCACAAATCCCCACGGCACATATCGTACTGCCTTTCCTCTGCCGCTCCGTGACCCAATCAATCCTTTTTCATAAATCTGCTCCGTGGATATGGGTGGGGGGGTGGCTAGAGTTTTAATGATGGTGGGTAGGAAAATGGCTAGATACTAGAATATGCAGCCAGAGCTTTCAATTTATCTGCAGCGAAGGCTGGCAAACACAAGCCATTTGACTGATTAGGAATGCGCGCAGGGGAAGGCAGATGTGTCACAGGACCAGCGTGCGATTTAACAAGCACATCTGACACGTCTTTAGTCGTCAAGGTGCGTGGATTAATCATCCAGTCGGATTTGGAGTTATTAAATAAGAGGAATAAAGGGAAGAACAAAAGGTGTCAGAATATTTAAGATAAATAAAACGCAGTCATTAGAAATAATCATATTTCTGTGTTGGTGAAATACACATTGGGTCTATTGCAAATGACTGCTTGCTGACAAATGATGTGCCTCCAAAGGGAAGACAGGTTGGAGTTATTAAGAACAGGAGGACGTCTCAGGGGCAATCCGGTCAGGGCTTTTCCATAGTGGGATTCACATATAAAGAAGCAGTAAAGTTAATTTATAATGGTCTGATGACAGCGAAGACAAGAGAATAAACAACATCTGTATCGCCCATGATGATTGTTATGATTATGTATTAGGCATAAGGTCTTCATCAGTTGGCTGGTTCTGCTGGCTTATCTAGGTTTAGATGGAACCAGCCCAACAGGTGCACAGATTCACTGGTGCTTTATTTACTGTTACACTGCAGAGTTAGTTTTAACTCGCCAGAGACTTATGTTGTCATTGTGTGTTTACTAAACGTAAAACTTTAAATCATACGTATTTAAAGAATTTCACAAATGGAAATTTGGAAAATGGAAGTCTATTTATTAAACTTAGTGGGAGCACCTAGCAGAAACCTACACAAGACACATAAACTCCATAAATACAGTCCCCATCCTGTCCAGGTAACAAACCTGGGACCTTCTTGCTGCGAGTCTGAAGCACTAACCACCGCACCAGCACACCACCATGTTACTCCAATATCAGCAAGAACTACCATTCACAATTAATTTATAATGACTATTCTGAGATTTAAAAAAAAACAAAAAAAACAATGCTTATACCTATTAAACTTCATCAATGAGATAAATTTAATGTTCCACAAAAACATGTTACTATTTATGTAGCTTTCCATTTTCATTAACAAACTGTACATAGCTACTGTCTTCATAAACCATAAGACTACACCTTGAAAATAATTCGTATAATTCTTCACAGCCCCAGAGTAACAATTCTACATGTATGCCTCACACTCTTCACGTCACCTCTGATCCAGCCCTTTCGCTACAGTAATCTTACACACCAATTAAAAATGTATAGAATCTCACCTAAGTCTGTGTTATCCTGAGCCTTTGTTAGTGCACTACAAACCTGACAGCAGACAGAGCTGGCCAGCCATCAAGAATCCTTCAGCATAAAACCAATAAAGCAGCAAGCGTGGGCTGAATTTCTGCACATATCTGTCTGGGAGGAGCCATACGTCTTGTTGTCTCTCTGTGAATGATGATTCGGAGGTAAAGAGGCGGTGATGGACAGACAGGGAGGCAGGGGGATCAAGGTGGAATGGCGCTGACACAGTGAAAGCGACCCAATTTCTGCTCTTAAGCCGATTGCGGTACGTGCTCAGACTGAGAGGGACTGTGTGTGAAAGGTAAATACACACTGCATGTCCTCCAGCTGTGTTAACACTTACTATACTCTCACTACTGTATATGCTTAAGAGGAGACAAGGGCAAAGGGTCACGACTGTTTGGACTAGTACCGAGTCAGGTGGATAGAAATGGAGATGAGGGTTCAGATGTCACCAATGAGAGCAGCCAAAAGGGTAAAGCTAAAAGTTATGTATAGACTTAAAATATAGACTGTGCTATGTTGTCTAGGATGTATTGCAATGATTGTTTTGACCATAATAATTAATAGTAAGACAACACCAACATGAAGTGAAATCCTATTACACTTTACTTTCAGTTATGACTACATCTGCCAAACCCACTGGCTGATCCCAGTCGTTATCAACCTATATTAAAATATGTGTAAACCTCTTAGTCTTCACCAAACTATTTTCTCTTTAAATTATGTTAACAACACCTATCATGAGAATATATTCCTAATATATTCATATATTTAGACAGGGAAGCCAAATGAGAGCAATTTTATGTAAGCTCCAATGAAAGCCTTTGTTGGTTGAAGCATAACATGGCTTGGCCATGTAAATAAAGGTCTTTTAAATACACTTATAGTGGAGTGTCTGGATTATGTAGTGCTTTCTCAAGCCAAATGAAGTGTCTTGCTCAAAGACATGTGCAGTATGAATGTTTGCAATGCTCATATCTTGGATTGAATTTCCAACTTTATGTCTGTCCAAAATACAATTAAATGTATAAAATTTTCTTAAGAGAATTGATTGATGAATGTTAGAAGGTGATCATGCAGTGCTGAGGAGTGCCATATGCTTATATATATATATATATATATATATATATATATATATATATATATATATATATATATATATATATATATATATATATATATATATATATATATATATATATATATATAAAACTCCCAAGGTCTTTGACAACCAATGTACAGTAAGTCCTTAATAAGACTACTGAGTAATACCAGAGATAAACTCACTTAAAGGTTGTATAGAGTATTTTCCAAGGAAAGAGAAATACAGAGACTGTTTGTCCTTTTTCAAATGTTGCACATGCGTGACACCACCCCCCCTCCTCCACAGCCCTCGCTAACTAGAAAAGCCTCCTCCCGCCTCCTCCTTACTCCAGAAATCATGCTTGTTTACAGCCAGTGCACATTCAGAATTGCTGATTGAATTGCCTTTGAAGTTTCCTGTCCAGATGTAATTTAGCGACCAACGCATCTTTAGACCCTTCGTCTACTTCAGTGCACGCCATTGCTGCAAGTAATCTCCAAGAATTACCTATGTTTGGCTTTGCTCCTTTTCCCCATCTCTTCTTTTTTCAGCAACCTCAAAACCTGACTTTCTTTTGTGGCTAACTGATAGTGAATTTTTGTCTGCCATTGCAACAAACTTTGTGCAAATTGCGAGGAAGCTACAGTTCGAAAAAGCCGCTAAGAACTGCCACGTTGGTTGAATAAACAGCATCTTGCATATGTGGAATGCGTGGAGGCATACGGTAATCCCAGCATACCAAATCAGTTATGATAGAAACATCAGGAGTTTGATTGACAACGTAACAGCCAATAGATAATGAGGTAGCCTCACTATCTATTGACTAATGTTTAGCTGGCCGCACCATATCCACGGTTGATAGATTTTCATTCTTTTTTTTTTTTTTTTGTCATCATTATAAAGCTGCTGCATCTGTATAACGCTAATAATGTTTGAACTTTCATTAACAATTTGAAACAGAAACAAAACAAAAAAAACTCCATACAACCTTTAATATGAATGCAAACGACTTCTCTCCAATAACATGATGAAAGCCAAATGTGTTTACTCTAAAAGAATACTCAGAAAGTAAACATAAACATTACAAAAAGACAAAAGTATACAATGAGGTAGGGATCTTACTGGGAACAGGAACTTCTTGACTTCTTCCATTGCATGTGCCATCCGCAGGTAGGCATCTGGTACCGGGGCGAAGACCTCGATAAAAACATGCAGCTCCATAGACAGGTGGGCGTACTTGGGCTCTCCGCCATTTCTCAAGTCTTCCTCCTGATGATTTAAAAAAACAGGAGTGAAAAGATGTGCGGTTCAATATTTGCAGAAGCCAAAAATGCAATAATTTTTCCCTTTTCTTGACTCAGTGATTTTGCCAATAACTGCTAGAGCAAAGAACTGCTAGAGAAAAGAACTTGAATGGGATAAATACTGGTTTGAAACTAAATATATTCCAAAATATTGAGAGAACCTTTCCTTCAATATGCTTTCTTCTGTTGTACAGTGTTGGTGGTAATTTTGTTTGGCTACAGAAAGCTTACAACTTTCATGCAGCAGTATCCCTATCTCAGCTGCAAAAAATATATAGACCTATCGAATGTTTAACTCTCTCTATGGTGGGACTAATGATACTTTGTGCTTTTATAGCTTTGTAATGGCATTAGCATGCGTCAATAATACATTTAGCAGTGTCTCCTCAAAGAAGTGCCTGTAACAGATGTGCAGTGCACCGATGCCCTTGGCTTAAAGCTGATGTCTATCCTGCGGGCCCCCACCATCTGGTCTCAGAGCTGCCATCCCTGTGAGGTGGGCCAGATCTGTGACTGCAGCCTCCTCTGAGCAGGTGCACACACCTTGGCTTTGTCTCTCATCGAGCCTTTCCCCAGCACCGAGATCTTCGCCCCAGTCTCCTCCTGCAGCCGTTTGATAGTGTTGCCCTGAGGTCCCAGAATCTTGCCCACAAAATTGAACTGAAAACAGAGAAGCAGAAAATAAACTCATAAAATATATGCTAAAGTTGTATGTTTGTTTTTTTTTAAGATAACATAGATATCCAAATGACAGCTTAATCCTAGGTCTAAATAAGGTATGTTTTTCTATGAGCAGTTTGTCACAGCCACAATAATTATAGTTGGGGGCTGGCTATATGACAATTTTCTTAGCTTAGATCACAGTTGCCAGTGTGTAGTTACATCCACTTGTCAGTCAATCTGAGCAGGACAAAGACTGAATCAGAGGAGAAGTTGGTAGTGAAATGTGTCAGTGAGCAGCATTAAACAGAAGCACTGAATCATGGTAGAAATCACATTACAACTGCCATATCGCCTAGCCCCAGGAATCACCACATCATTCAAATTGATACATTTTGTGTAGGGGAGTCAGCTGGAGCTTAAGAAATCTAAAATAGATATTCACATATTGCATTTGTATAGCACAAGGCAATTTTTTTTTACACATAATTCACTGACAGTGGCTGTAAAAGGTAACATCTCATCTCTGTATATCTGCGATTGCATACTTTGAGAAAATGAGACCACTAGTTCATTCATTAGAGCTAAAAGCAACTCCCTTTTCCCAAACTAATAACAATGCAATTATTCCACAGATGAGGTTTGGTACATTACATGACTCTATCACAGTCATTCAGAATGGAACAACCCTGAAGAATTTATATTAGAATCTAAACAACACTCATTAAACTTGTCATTTGGGGAGGGCAATCTGATTACAAACTAAACAACTGAATCCAGCAGGCAGACAGCATGCTTTGCCTCTGTCGCACGCAAAGTCTAATAAATTGTGTTTCACAGCTTGCCAATTTTAATAACGTAATTGTGTTAGACTTTTTGCCAAATGTTCTTCAAATTTTGCTTCTAGCTCCAACTATTTTTATCTAGCTTTTACTTTTACTTTTACATGTTCTTTGTGATTTCCTGCAGATTCTCCAAACATTCTCAGAGCACCTGCAGCAACTCACAACAGGTAGGAAAATGAGATGCAACAATGCTGACATCAATGCAATACTGGAAGTTACTGGTATTGATACTGGTTATTTTATACATTTTTATTAGGAGTATGAGAAAATATCTGAATAGCAATACTAAATTTGCTGATACAGTATTGATACTGTGGGCCGCTGTTTTGAAGTTATTTTGTATTTTGTGGTATATTTTACAAAATGAGTTTCTGTCAGCTCATTTAGAGAAAGGAAAGAAAATACAATACATCTGACATATTTACTCACAAAAGGTTTGTACAGTCAGTGAACAAAGAAATACTGGCTGCAGTTACATGCACACTCAAAATGTGATCAGATTTTTGGACTTTTAAGACTATTAAAATTACATGCAAATTTAACAGCAAAATGATCTGATTTCCTTCTAATCATAATCTCTCTGATTACTCACATCAGATTTTGCAGTTTGCGTGTCATTTAAATCATTTTAAAAAGGTCTGGAAATCAGATCATCAGATTATAATCAGATTTTGAAGTGCATGTACACTAAGACACTCTTGTTAAAATGAATTTGTTTCTTAAAGAATAGTCGGCCAATAACATGTGCAATAGTTCAGCTATCACGTGTGTTGGAATCGTGAGGGAATAATTTTTAACTATTGTAAATGAAGACCTAAAATGTAAAATGTACAGTACAAAATGTTACTGCAGCAAATAAAAAAGCAGAAGTGATAAGAGAATTTAACACATTTAGGTTTTACCAGGCTTCTATAGAGAATGAGTTCAACATTTTGTACAAGGATCATACACACAATTTTAAGAACACTGTAGCGTTTAATACTGTGGTGATTAAATACAATAAGATTTCGAGAATTGAAATCTAAACTCTGAACTGAACTGAATTCTACAGTTTTTACAGCAAATACTCGTTTATGGCCTCAAATCCAGCGGTTGACAAATGACAGCAGGTTGAAACACATTTTAGTTATTACAGCCTATATAAGAACTACCATTAAACTTTAAATACAACGTGACTAGTTTAGCACCCGCTGCCACTTCAGAGTACGCGATCAATACAGCTACATGTCTGAGCCAGGTATAGATTAACCGATATGGAGAACACCCCGGCAGTTAGAACCCCATTTAGCCAAAGCAAATAAAGGAAATGAACCTGAACGACTCGGAAAAAAAAATGTACGGAACCATCACTGGAACTGCCACATTAACATTTTGATCCACTTTGTGACATTTTAAAACATTGCCATATTAGATGTAATTACCAGTGCAATGTTGAAGAGTAATTTGAGACTGCCAAGTAACCCTGTGGCTTTGTGTAATTGAAACTCAGCAGCAGGATAAATTAAATCAAGAGGGATTCACTACGACGGTGGGGGGAGTGGAGGTACAGAATATAAAGTGAAGGAAAGAGGGAGGGGGGCCACTCACCTTGGGGTACTGTTTGACCGGTATGAGCACACGCTCTTTAAGTTTGATGTTTTTTGTCGTGAAGAGGTCCAAGTATGTTTCTGTGTCCTTTTTGGTCTCGCCTTTCTGGATTCTGTCGATTTCTAGACACAAAAAGATTTTTAAAAAAGGTAAATATTTTACATGGATGTTGGAAAAGTAAGTGGTGAATTTGCAAATTATTTAAAACATGGATATTTTGGATGTGAGTTTTTGCATCCTTTAAAAACAGATAAACAAACACAAGGTCATATGATTATTCCTGGGAAAAAAACAAGTATGTTTCGTTATTGAATATATCGGCAATTTTGACTGTCCTAATGTTCTAAAATCAAGTTAGTGAAACCAATGTAACAAGTATGAGCCCAGAGGTTTCTATTTCTTCACAACCCAAAATCCTCTGTTCAGTGATAACTGCACATGTAAGATATCATAAAAGATGTTTCTTAAGCATTTTTCAGAATCATTAGGTTGGATTTATTACAATAAGATAATCCTTTATTTGTCCCACAATGGGGAAATTACAATGTTGCAGTGCCAAGTTCAAGAACAGCAGGAGAACAAGAACATGCAATTTAGACTGATGGATTGAGTGTTTATTTGCTTTACAAGAAATAAAGGAGTTAATGATGGGCATCTTGATATAACCCATAACAGATCATTTCAAAATTTAGACCTGATGTTGTAAAAACTGCACAAAGAAAAATTACAAGCATACACCTTTTCTTGACTGCCAACTTTGTCCATCTTCAACACAGGCATATTACAAAGAAACACGCATAAAATAACCTTGACATAAATCAATAATGTTGTGAGAGCTGCTTACTTTACAACCTCTTTTATTTATCCATGGGTTTCAGAAGGATGAAAAATTAGGACCGTTGTCATGGTGATTTAAACTATTTAAAACAAAATATATGAAAAATGTGAAAAAGGAAGCAGAAACCCACAAATTCCTAGTTTAAGCTTGTAATTTAGAAAACAGCAATGCATTTTTTTATTTTTTTTTTTGCAGGAGATCCTTCCCATGTGACAAAGCATCTACAACTCTATCCAGTCAGTAGCTGGCCTTGGCTACTCCTGTGTGTGTGATGATGCGCAAACATGTCAGATACCCCACAATACACCAGCTGCAGAGCTGAGGAGGGAACACTGGGAACTGTACAAGTACCATACTAGTTGCAGGTTTCATGGTTCTTTTGAATAATTACCCTTACCTTATCGCCGTTAAGAATATATGAAAAATTATTTATTTTTCACAAGGAAAACTCACTCAAACGATAACATTAAAAAGGTCATAGTTGGGTACAAAAAGGCATGGTCAAAGTTGAATTTATAGACTACAAATTTTCATGTCATTTGCCATCTGGCTTGAGAGGTTGCATTTCTAAAATCTCTAATCAAAGAGGAGGATAGCATAAGATATGGTTACAGAAAGCAATTAATTTTAGGACAAGCTAAAAACAGAGCTATACTCACAACAAGGACACTTCACGGCCAGTGCCTACGATTATAAAGCCCCATAGCTGCCATTTGGGTTTTAGTACCCAGGTGACATTGTAAGTCTCACGCAAATAAAACTGTAAACATTTGCATAGAAGACCAATAAACAATAGGATGGAACCATTGGAGCCATGGTGTATTATCTATAGGAGCAAAGAATGGAACTGGTAGGTTTTATTATCCACACAACTGAAATAATTCCATCTTCTCTCAATATTGGTCACCTTCTCATTTTGTTTGAATATACAAATTACATGGACATGTGGCCAATTATTTGCAACTTTAGCAACTGCTGAATTTGGTCACCTTTACACAGGGGATCGCGTTTTCTTTGTTAACCGTCTAACGTCTTGGCCACATAATTGGTAACCCCATGAAACCACAGTGGTGTTGCAGAGAGGGGACTCTGTGCGTAATTAAATAACAGAAGCCTTTTGAATGGGGGGCCAAATTCTGGCTGGTTTAACATGTCAGAGAAGTGTGACTTGACCCCCAGAAAACCTTTGAGCTGTGTGCTAGAATGCCAAAACCTTACAGCCCCTTCTCTACTCATCCTGGCGCAGGGAGTATCCAAATGAGCTGGCACCAAACGCACTCCTCCACGACACCACCAGCAACGAGGTTAATGGGACACCCCACGTCCCGTCCGCAAACACATGGAGCTGGAGCGAGGTGTGGGTCTGCAAAGCCCCACGCACCTCCACGCTACACTGACGCAAAGCAAAGAAACAAAACAAATACCCCGCAAACCCACTTTACCTGCATTTAAAAGTTTCATGGAGTGCGTAAACGACATGTCCAAAGTGTCCTTTTCTGCCAGCAGCTCGGGAAGGTATTTGTCGCCGTTCTCCATTTTGACTTTAAAATGGATCGTTGCAACAAAACAAAAAAAGATTTACAAAACCCAAGAATAATAATTAAAAAAGGTAGTCCGGTTATGTAACTAGGCAGCGCGGAGTATCCTCTTTGTAGGCGGCGTTTTGCATGTGGATAGCGGGCAGTGGTGCGACGGTGCGTCCGCTGCTCTGTGCTCTCTGCTTGGTTTGCTCGCTCGCTCCGCACCGGTCGGGCTCCTCTGTTCAGCTGCGCACTCTGGAGGGAAGTGGGAGAACAAAAGCGGTGAGAGACTGGAAAAGCAGCCAGCACAATCCCGCCGACGGAAGTGAGCTCAGATAGGGAGGACTAAAACGCCGCCTACCGTGCGCTTCGTGGATCTGCTCCGATAATGCCACTATCAGATTGTCGATAGTGGTGTGGGTGTGTGCCTGTATGTGTGGGCTCTATTGTTGGCAAAGTAAAGTGTCTAGACTTGATATATAGTCGCAGCAGGAGTGTGTAGGTACTCTATACTTGTAGCCAAGAGAAAATCTAATTGGCAATTGAAGTAGATTTGAGTAGGCTATAACATGATTCAACTGTTATTATCAGTGAAATAAATGTTAGATATATTTAATTATTATTAAATCTAAATTCATGAAACCTAGAGATGCACTATGTACGTTTTCTGCTGGAGTAGTGGAGAGTCTGTCACATGCTTTTCTTTGCCATTGCTCTGCCTGAAAAGTTCCACACTATGACATTAAACAGCTCTACCTTACATTTATTAAACTGCAGGTAGTTTTATAGCTCAAAAATACTTGGAAAAATGAACATTCTGACAGTAAGCAGGTGTCAGTTTTTTTTGGAGGCAGCCTATAAGAGTCCTAAGAAAGAAGTCCAGGAGATGGAAAAGTCCACAACTAGTTCTCTTTATTTCAAGCAGGTACAGGACTAGATTCGAGTTGATTACAGAAAACAGTCACAAGCGTCTTAAAATGACAGCAGAGTAGGCAGCCTTTATACTTAACATCCTGTCAAATATTAACTTATTGATAACTTGTTTTACAGGATAATTCACAGAAATATTGATCAGGTTCCTGGAATGATACACGCTACTGAGTTCAGAAGCGCCTCTTCCGGACCTTGATTGAGGCAGTGACCAAAAGAGAACATAACAAGGAACATTTTGAATGAACAAGTAATACATTTGAAATTAAAATGAAACGTTAACATCAAAGAAAATAATTCTTAGACAGGGTTGCCTCTCCACAGATCTGACCTGTAACTTGATCTGGTATGGTCTCCATGAAAATAGAAAGGTTTAATACCATACTATGAAACATTTTAGATAAAGCAATAACTCTCCATGGAGAACAGCAGTAGACGTACCCTTCACCAGAAAAGTTACACAATACACCTTTAAGACTTTGCTTTAATTAATATGTATAGTCATCTTAATTAGCAAACAATGTGTCCTCTTTGTCCAAAGTGAAAGGATAGATAATAACAAGCTCTGACTTTGGTACGTGTTTACATGCACAAAAGAAATCTGAGCGAAAACACCTGCGGACACGTGTCAGTGAATCAGTTTTATTAAGTACTAATTTGAGTAACATTGTATTAGTTAATTTTGTCTTTTTCTCATTAGTTTGTTCTTTTTTGCATAATTTTCCTTGTCACCAGCTGCAGAAGTGAGTAATCAGAAAGAAATGAGATTACGCACAGATGTAACTGTTCTCAGCTATCTTCAGAAATCACAATCAAAATTTTCTGTGTGCATGTATAGACTTTGACCCGATTTATGAAATAGCAGGTTGACACAAACATCTGTATGTATAAAACAATCATATATTCCCTCAGGTCACATTTAGATTAAAAATCACCCACGCGATGCACGCCTCTTCAAATGACTCTTTTGTGTACATTTTGTCTTGTATACAAAGCACAGGTGTTACTGCCAACATTAACTCTGCTTTCATTCTATTTATTGCCCCCTGGAGGCTATTAGGGTGACCCAGTGTGCACCAGTGTAACGGATGGTCCTCTCCTTTACCTTAAAGAGACGAGGCCATTACGCCATTCATTATACCAATTAGTCCGCACCTGTGTTTGTGCCGTAATGAGCCAAAATGTCCGCCGTGAAGACGCTCTATCGCCTTTTACACAATTACACCAGATTGTTATCTATTTAAGCTTTAATTGTGAACAAATTAAGAGCCACTGATAAAACAAGTGACAGTGATAGCCATACAAAATATGTTCATTTTTAATTGCTAATCTTTGAGATATAATTCCCACAATAGAAATTATTACTGTATTGTTTGGGTTCACATTTTTTAATATGATTATGTCATAATTTCAGATGGAGGGCAGTGACTTATAACTCACTGTTTTGGCAAGATCCAGATCATGATCTATAAATGTTAAACCTATCATTATTTGTTAAGGAAATGGCTCCATGAACTTGCCATATTAAAGGGACAGTTCGGAATTTTGGACATAGGACCTAATTTCCTAGTTATCCAGAGTGTTGGAGACATGTGGTGACACTTTTTAAAAAAAATATTCCACCCAGTCCTTGTATGTGCAGAGGTCGCTGGTGCTAGCGTATGTCAAAGGCCATAGTTAGCCTGTCACTATAAACAGTCTTAACCGCTCCACAAAGCACCTGAAGCAAATCTTTTATTACGCCAGACTGTTGATGTGAATGTCTGTGTCGATAGATTATTTTTAGAAGTAAAACCAACCTTGCATTTGAAGGATTTATATCTGAGCAGCAACAGTGAGTTGTACTTCCTGATAGAAAGCTTGACAGCGGTGGACTGATATATGAGAAAATAGTCCCTCAACATGCGACGATTCATGCGATGCAAGGTCAGTTTTATTTTAAACATTATTCTATCAACACAGACATTTACATCGATAGTCTGGCATTATAAATGTTTTGCTTCAGGTGCTTTGTGGAGTAGGTAAGACTGTTTTTAGTGGCAGGCTAACTATGGCCATTGACATGCGCTAGCCTAGCACCCGCGACCTCTGCAAATACAAGGACTGGATGAAATATTTCAAAAAGTATATCAACATTAGGGATGGGCATGAATAATCGATTAATCAATAATTGATCATTAAGAATTTCATCGGTTACGTTAATTTTAATCGACAAACCGAATGTAGGTTGTTGTGCGTAGCGTGACCGAACAGGGGTCTGTACATGTAGCTCTCTGCACTCAGAAGGAGCGAGCAAACAAACATTTGGTCAGCCTGCAACGTGCCGAAGCACAAATGCGTGTTTAACGATGACTTGTACAAGAAATTCCACGTTTTCCGTTGCGTTCGGGACAAGTGTGAGTCCATGTGCACAGTGTACAAAGCAGCACATATGTTTCAGTGTCCAGTGGGAAAAAGCTTTGCCAGGTGAGAGTAGCGCAATGTCGATGATGAGTCCCCACCTCTCACCCCCGTACGGTGTTCTGGTTTTGACAAATGCAAATATGGTCACACTAACCTGTATTCCACTGAGTCGTGTCTTTTAATCCAACAGAAGTTGACTGCATCAGCGCACAAGAGCTGTAGTTTTATCTACGCTGAGTTTATGAAAATTAGCAATGCGGTTTTAAGTTTTGTTTCTGTGAGAGTTGCGCAAAACTGCATTAAACACATAATAATGTCAAACGGATTGATGTGGCTCTAGAGTGGTTACAGTTTATATGTCGTGAAGTTGAATTTATTTATGCAGATTAGTAGTGCAGATAGTAATAATAATGATGATCATTTTAATATAAAAACGTTAATGATTAATCGATAATCGACCGTTAATTCTTCCGACGATCGATTAAGAAAATTTCATCGAATGCCCATCCCTAATCCACACGTCTCCAACACTCTGCCTAACTAGGAAATGAGGCCCTATGTCCAAAATTCAGAACTGTCCCTTTAATCTCATGGCATCCTTTCAACTGACAGTTTTAGGGTTTAATAATGGCACCACTTTCTGAAGCTACAGTGGAAAAAAGTGTTTCCCTTTTGTTTATTTATTGACAGAGAAGATGTCAAACTTCGTGCCAATTTTTGTTTTGTTGAAAGGCTCACTAATTACAGAAATAATAACTATAATATATAGATCAAAAAATCTGAGGCAAGATGGTGCACACATGAGAAAGATGATCTCTTGAGATTTTTTCCCCAAGTGTTTACATTAGGAATGGACAAAAAAGGGGATTACATGTTGTTGGATTACACTTTTTACAGTTCCAAAAAGTAATACTAGAATTGGGGGACAAAATAAAATCAAATAAAAAAAAATAAATAAATAAAAAATTGTGAGGCCAAAGTTGGAAACTGAATTGTGAAATTTATTTATTAGGAATTATGTTAAAATCTCATCTTGTCTTCTTCTTGTGGTCCCAATTTCGTATCTCATTTGATCATCCATCCCTAACCATGTAACCTTTAGTGCAATTGCTATGCTTATATGATATGGGCTATAAGGATGTTTGTTTACCTCTGTAGCAGTGGACACTACCAGACCAAGTTACAGGTAAATCAGTGAAGAGGCCACCCAGGGACATTTGAAATTGTTATAAATGTGCATGACAATATAATAAGTTTTGATGTTCCATATTTTAAAAAAAGTTCAAAGTACTTTCTTCCCAGACTCTCTATGCCCCCCTAGTGGCAGTGCTGATCACAACAAAGTGTGTGTGCATGTGGAGAATCAGTTATTCCGCTTCTTGCAGGTTTGGTATTGATTGAGAAAACACTTAAAGAGGCCTGAGAGCAGGTGAAAAGGATGCTTGGAAGCAGCTCCTAATGGAACGATTACTCAGCGCTCACACTGGTAATGAACCTGTCGCGCTCTTCAGTCGCCAGCAGGGGTCAAGAGGTCATGGCAGCCCAGTCAGTACGGAAAGTCTGAAGTTTTATGAGTTGTGAAAATGATGTTAGACAGAGGCATTATTTAAGATAAGATTTCTATTTAACAGGGGTGTTAGTCTCAACAAAATAGAACAGGGAATGTGGGGTCCTTTAAATCGTGAGATTCTTTATCCGTATTATGAAGTGTCGCCATCTAATTTTGTTGTACTTGCATTTGTACTGACAAAGAGCCTATATTATGCTATTTTCTGATCTGTGTTATAATGGCTCCTCATCAAAAACACACCCAGAGTTTTGTTTCATTCACACACAGAAAATCCTGTATATTTGAGCTGTGTTCTTCTCTTAAAACACTCTTTTCCACCTTGTGATCCACTGAGTGCTCCACTACATGACATCACAAGGTGGAACAGAGTATTTTGAGCTTTG